TAGTGTCAAAAAGAAGAACTAACAGATGAACACATTGTTCAAAAACACCTAATGAACATATAGTTCAAGAACACCTTATGAACATATAGTTCAAACATACCTACCGATTACAAGTCTGCTAACGTTCCACTGGACTATCTAAAATAGTCTGTGGTCGTTGTCTATACTCTGCTAGATGTCTAGATCATCTTAAACATCGATACCTCTCATCACCTTTTATTTCATCACACATTATCTAATTCATCTACCCATGTTTTACCCAACATTTTTGTAGATAAAAATACATATACAGTTTAAAACTTGTATAAAACATCTATTCAACAGTCACCTTAATTAAACAATTAATATAATTACACATAGCACGTATTTAAAAAAAAATACTTCATATATATGTGTAAGGTGAAAGTGACTATACACTCACCTTAGTAGGTGGTGACTCAGCACTCAGACAGCACTTTGATACTATCAAAACAATTTTTCTTCGATAAAACCTAGTATCAATTCCACTAGGGTCTAGTCTAACGTCAACCGTGACTAATTAATAGTCTAGCTATTATTATTATTATATAAGCGTTAAATAACACTCAATATAACTCATAATAATAGCCCAAATAAATTATTTGAAGGAGCTAATAACATTAGTATAATTATTTGAAAGCTATATTAAAACTTACGTAAGCGTAGCTGACTTACAGCGGATTTTAAAGAAAACCGGACTTTATTTGGAGTAGCATTTCGAAACCGAAAGACTCTTTTCTTGGGACTCTGGGAGCCTCGGGGCTTCCTTAGGGTGCTAGGGGATCACCTAGGATTAGGGAGGGTTAAAACCCTTAGAGAGAGAAAGTTTAGAGAGAAGAAATGAAGAAAGGTGTGAGATTTTCGGAATGGCTCGCCTAATATTTATAGTAAGTTTTTATGACACTCACGTCGTGGTGTCATAAAGCTCACGTCGTGAATTGGATCTTATCCTCTCGCAGCTTCTAGATTCCGAATAATGACAGAATTCAGTGAGCGTCATAATTCTCACGTCGTGAATTGTATCTTATCCTCTCGAAGCTTCTAGATTCCGAATTATGACAGAATGTCATGCGCGTCATAATTTTCATGTCGTGAATTAGCTAGTTTAGGGTTTTTAAAAAGCTAAATCTTCGGAATGCCATAGCTTTTGCATACGAACTCCGTTTTTGACATTCTTTATATCCACGCGTAGGTAGAGACATATTCTACAACTTTCATCATCAAGTGTAAAGTGTAATTGGCATTTGATGATGAATAAAAGTTGTGTTTATTTATGAGTAAAGTGTTGCTATCTCTTATCAATCGTTTACTATATTTCTTTTGCATGTTTTGACTTCCATAATAGTTATGGTTGGTATATCATATTATTCGAATGTCCACAGTTGGTCATATGTTGGAAGTAGGTATGAATCAAGACTGTCATGAGATGGTTGCAGAGGTCTAAGCTGTTGGACATGGCTACAACACTCATGAGTGCTCATAAGTTCTGAGCATTGGACTCAACCCACGCTCACTCGTATCACTTCATGGAATTTATCTCGAGTGATCGTGATACATTAATATCATATAAGTCTTCAAACCTAGAGATATGACTTGTTTCTTGTGAGTTGGTTATGCATTGATCGTACGAAAACGCATTGATAACTCAATGTTATAAAACGTACTTTTGTGTGTGAGTTAGCAAGTAGTAGAACAAGCATATGAGTCGAAGTTTATGTGTTCCTTCTAGGATTAGAAGCGATATCTAGGCCCTCGATGATTTTGTTTTGACCTATGTACCGGGCCCGATCAAAACTAAGTTGATGTGTTCAATTAAGTTCTTTGTCAAACAAATCGAAAATCGGGAAACAAACTGTTGGACAGTAAGTAAGACATTGTTCCATGTATTTTTCTGGCTGATATCTAGAACAGAGGATTATATGATCACTTATCGTAAATGGCGCATCATCATCTTCTTAGTTCTGAGAGACCTTGAAAAGAGCTACGATTGCTAATCGGTTCCTGAAGTCATACTTACATATATAGTTATTAGACTTATCCACGTGGGAGACTATTGGATAAGGTATCTAAGTCCATATCTATATTTGGTATGTACTTGACCCGACCCGACATGGTCCATTTGTGTTCCATGACATCATGCATTTGGATAGACTAAAAGAGAGAAATAACACTTGTGGTTTATTAATATATTATAAATTATAATATATTAATAGTATTAGTTAATTAGTATCGATCAAGAATTAATTTGGAATTAATTAAGTGATCAAAAGATGACAAATTAAATATATGGGTTGATTATGTAAATCATCCATAACTTGTATAATGAGCTAAAAGGCTTAATGGATTATCAAGTTGGGTTAAACGCATAGGATGCTCCATGGGAGTTACAAACCAATGGGTCATGGAAATGAAGAGTCATGTACATTAGGGTTTACATGGTGTAACCCTAGATGTGACACACTATATAAGGAACAGGTTATCTACCAAAATCGGCTAAACTAAGTACAAGAGAGGACAATCCGATTTTTAGAGTGTTATACATTCTCAAATCCATTCCAAAGCATTTGGTGTTGTGTGAAGCCTTTGAGGCATCACACTTGGGGTGCTAGGCTCTCAAGGTTTTCAAGGAATCAAATCAACTACAAGGTATGTAATTCTAGCAATCTTTTTAGTCAAAAGTTCCCCATGTATGCTAGATAGGATTATGAACCTTGGAAATCATATTTTGCATGTATTTTAGATAAACATAGATCCAAGGTTTTCTAGGGTTGCATGTACACTTAGGAGTGTTAGAATGATCAAAACCCATCAATGTTATGTTCTTGTTGATCAGGGGCTTAGGATAGGATCAGATATTCAACAGTCTATAGGGTCCAGCGTTATGTATGGCTAGCATACATTTGTGCTGCAGGGTTGGTGGAAGTTTCATGGATGGGTGGGTTGTGTGAGGCCGGGAGGCCAGTTACAAGAAATTTAGCATTGCTGTAGGAGTAAGGATTGAGCGCTCTCTATGATTACGTATATTGTTAGGGCGTTGTGATGATACTTAAGTCAAATATGGGTAGGTGTGGAAGGTAGAATGGGCCCGTACTACTGAAAGCACAGGACCCATACACGTAGCAAGGAAGTCACAACCCCTAGGGTTGGATTGGGAGTTGGTCCCCTGTCATTATATGGATTATCAGAGATCTTTCCGGTGTCTTACCAGAATGGTGGTTATGAGATGTCTTGAGACTGGATCCATGTTAGGAATGGGAGCTGGCAGCCAGGTTAGGCCAATATTTTCATAGGATCATGTTAGTGAGATCATCCGGGAGAAGGTGATCGAGATTGTCCGGGGATAGTTGTCGAAGATGTTCAGATCTATTAAGACCTCCATGGTTGAGTATTTCTACGAGCGCTATGCAGCCCTTGCTGAGACGGTTGCCGCAACAGCTTCAGTAGTTGTAAAGATGGCAGGGGGATGAGCTGGTCGAGCTTTCCAGTATTGGGACTTGTTACTGAGACATATCCCGATGAACAGAGGACTGTAGTTACTTGAGATCGGGGAGATATTATGTACTCGTTGTTTTCCGCAGGTTGAGCGGGAGAGGATAGTACATGAGTTTCTAGATTTGAAGCTCAGGGGTTTGTTCGAGGCCAAAATGTTAGTTATGGGGACTCCGAAAAAGGAGTGATGATCATGTTCAGCTGGGGTTTTGTAGCTAGAAGTGGAATGGCAAATTGATGAATTGGAATGTCATTTTATAGGGAAAGGATTGTGTCTTTTCAGTTTTCGAGCTCGAAGAAGTGAGCAGGCTTGTGACCCCCAGGATCAGGTTGTATTCTAGCTTGGGGTCATTAGGTTGCAGGGATTGGCGACATTATTTTAGCGCCGGTGAGCGCGTGTGGGCTGATGTGGCATGAGTATTTTTTTCAGGTCTGGTTTGCCTTGGATCTCTTGTATCGAACAGTAAGGATTGATTGTGCGACCTATTGCGCTTTTGGGATTGTATACTATATCTTGGGAGTAGTTTGTAGCTCAGTGTAGGACAGAGGTTGCTTCAGCTACAGTAGTTCAGCTGTGGACGTTTGAGCGGGTACGTGAGTCCGGGTGCGAACCTTGAAGGAAATGACTTTTAGAACTCGAGAGCGGGAGATTTGTTTGGAGCACCTTTGGAAAAGGGGTAGCATGTGGGAGGTTTGTGGATAGGGTTCCATAGGATGGTCATTCAGCATTGTTAGGAATCAGTGGTTTAGCAACCGTTAATGATCGGAGAATGAAAGCGCCAAAGGAAGTAGCTCGTTGCTGAGGTATTAGTTGGAATATCTGTCTTTTCGTCTTCAAGATTTGAGTATGGGATCATTCAAGCATTAGCGACTGTCGGCTTCACGAGGATTCAGGAAGTGCTCATCCGGTTCTTAGAAGTGTGTGGTCAATTGGGATTGGCTAGTGATAGAGTGCTAGTTAGAAGAGTTGGTTGTCATCGGATTGATCGCTGGAAAGTGAGAAAGAATGGGAATTCTCCAATTTTCATGTATTGTGAAGACTTAGTCAAATCTAAGTGGGGGAGAATCATCCTGGGATTCAGAAGCAGGAGCAGTGTTAAAAGTGGGATAAGTCTCGCATTGTTGACAAGAAGGAAGACAACCAAAGTGGCTATTTAGTTTGAGGGTTGTGTGAGTTGGGAGTTCGGTAAAACTCCCCAGCATGTGTATCACATCTTCTTGGTGCTTGATAGCAGAAGTTAGGGAACCAGGTTGGAGTTCTAGTCATGAATTGAGTTCAGTTTGAGTATTTGGTCGAGGGTATGCTCAACTCTGAGGGTTTTTTTTAGATAAAAGGGATTACCCTTAGCAAATATTATTAATAAAAAAGAGATTACAAAAAAAGGAGGGCAAATGCCCAAGAAAAAATAAAAAACAAGACCAAGCTAAGGGACATGCCCCAAAGCAAGGGAAACAAAACAAAGCAAAGAACTAGCTAAACAAGACCTAAAACATCAACCCTGGTCAACTGGAGGAGAGATATGGCCGCCGTGAGAAGAACTCGGATATGTATCGGAAGATTGGAGGGTATCACTTGGATGGGAGACAGGAGGGATGCTAGTGTCATCTTCAGATTCATCGATTTTTTGATGCGAGAGAGCATCAAACATGTTAGACGACACATTCTTTTTCTTCGAGTCATGCGTTATTGGCTTGTAGACTTGAACGATTTTTAGAGCGGGCCCTTTATCTTTACGATTGTTAACTTGAACCTTCTTTTTAGGGATAGGGATGGCTCTAGTTCTTTTTTTGACCGTTTGAAAACCTTCATTATCAACTTCTTTAGGAAGTGTCGTTTGGACCGGAGCGTTATTCGGTTGAGTGGGGCAACTCGCATGATCATGACTCTGAGGGTTTTTGGATTTATAGATTAAGGATTTTGTTAGATTTCAGGGCTTGGCAGTAGTTTCAACTAGGGTGTGCGAGTTATTTAGCATATATGGTAGACACGCGAGTCAAGGAACACACCACAAATTTCTGAGAGGGTGAACGATCGACATCAGGCCTAGGGTTAGGCCGGGGTGAGAGTCCTGGGAATAGATCAGGAGTTTCGAACCCCAAGTGGGTGAGAATAGTCTGCATGGGAAAGATCACCAGGAGGGGTGGTCCAAGGAGATGTGCAATAGTTTAGAGCGGTCAGGATAGACTAAAGGTCGATGAGGCATACCAGTCAGGCTGAAGGCTTAGATAACGGTCCAGTCATGCTGAAGACTCTATTTTTTCTTGTAGATGTATGTTCGGGTATTGAGTTTGTTGTTATGCTATAGCAATCAGAAGGTCTGTCCCCAAGTATTGAACATGTTGATGGAGAAGGTTGAAGATACCGGTGTATTTTCATTGGATCGGAATTTGTTATTAGAGATCGAATGTAGTATTAAGGATCTTGGTGATCTCATCATTTCGGAGTGTCTCAAAGGACTAATCTTATTGGATCGGGTAATACTCTAGTTAGGGACTGGGAATAGATCTCAATGGTCATTCATCAGCTTTAGGAAGGCTTGGGTTTGGAATGTCTTGTCATTCAGGTTTTGGGAACTAGGTTAGATCTTTCTCTTGGGGCCGTCTATGGTGACACATTATATGTGTTATGGGATAGCAACTTGTTCTACAAGTGGATAGTATGGGGTGAGGTTTCAGTACTGTGACACTTGTTGGTCTTGTGAAGGACATTTATTAGACCCTCTTAAGGAAATGGAGAAGGTGAGAATCTCAAGGATGGAGCGTTGGGGCAACTAAAGTGACGGCAACAATGTCGATAGGTTATCAGGAGCGTTCCAATCATGAGCTGAGGGTCGTAGAGGGCATATCAGACTCATGTTGTGGGCTCAGAGGCAATCCATACCTATGTTGATGACCATGTAAGGGTATCCCAGTCATAGGATGTGGCCATAGAGATTGTGTTGCTTATGTCTCTGGTAGGAGCGCGTGCGGATTGGATGTATTGTTGAGATTCGGGAGAGTTGAACTCGGTTGTGTCGAATAAGAGGATGGTGGATGAGATGTAAGGGTAGATCCTTGGGTCTCAAGTTATGAGTAGACCTGAGTTATGTTCATAGAGGTATTCCAATCTAGGGTATTCGATCCTGAGGATGACCACAACCTATGATTGATTGGACCTGATATGTTTGGTATTGCAACCCGAGGGTTGATTAGGCCAAACATGTGTGGGGATATGAGGGTATTCCATACTAGGGATGACTGGACCCATTGTAGGCATGCCTGGTATTCCAGACCGATGCTGATTGGACCAGGCATGAGTGTTCTTGTTATTAGTGGATTGATTTTATATGATATTATGGAAGCTGAAGGACGCATTATCCTGTCAGCACAAAGGGTTTGCTTCAGGAAGAGGGAAAGTTGGGTTTCCGATACTTTGGATCATTAGGATTTTGTTAGGTTGGTAAAGTGGAATATAGGATAGACCTTTTGAAAAGTTTCGGTTGGATTTATATCACTTTTCACGATTGACATCTGCAAACGCGCATATTGGATGAGTAGGTGGTTGTATCGTTGGGTGGTGTTCAAGATGCGGGAGCATTATCCCGAATTGTTCGTCACAGCAGGCTTCGAGGAAGAAGCCTAGTTTAAGTGGGGGAGAATTTTAACATCCCAAGATTTTTCATTTATAGTCACTGGGGATTGAAGGTTGAAGCCATGAAAGTCGAAAGGCTAAATTTCAATTATTAGGATCAGGAGGAGTACGCTGCGCGTACATAAGGGTACGCTAAGCGTACTAGGTTCCCCCTAGTACACTGGGTGTACACCTGTGTACGTAGGGCATACTCATGGCAGAAGGAAACCCTAATATTTAGGGTTTGGGGACTATATAAGCAACATTATGAGCACAAGACCCTCCCTTACCCTAGCCTCCACTTCTTAGAGTGGTTTTCCCCAAACCCTAGCCATTTCCTTGAGCGTTTGAGCTTTTTGAGTGTTCTTGAGTGTTTTAAGAAGAGGTTGTTGCATCAAGGAGTTGGAGAAGAAGATCAAGCTTGTAGATCTGAAGTTGGTTTGTGCCCTAGAAGCTCCAGAAGGTAAAAAGCTTGGAACTTTATACTTGTAAGAGTTAGATCTATTCATTTTAGCTTTTTGGATGCATTCTTCTCCCAAAAGTCCTAAATGGTGCATGTTATAATTTGGATGAAATGAGATGTCCTTTCATACCTTAGAAGAGGTCTTAAGTGATAAAAATGTTGTCCCAATAGCTAGATTTGTCTCACGCATGAAATAGGAAGGTCTTAATGGATTAACACCATGTGTTAAGAACTTTCTGGACGTCCAAAGAGGTAAAGTTCAAGACTTTTTAGTCCTATGGCACATTTCGTTGATGGATCTGGAGTTTGGGCTTAAGTGCTTAAGCCATTAAGCATTAATTCGGGTTTTGGTGAAACCACACGTACTCCCAGCGTACTGGGTCAACCACCCCGATGGTGGTCAACATTTGACGAGTACGCCCTGTATACCAGAGGAGTATGCCCCGCGTACGTCCTCTGTTGGGCCTTTGGCATTTGAACTTCGGGTTTTGGGCTGTTTATGGACTAGCTGGATTTATGCCTTTACTGGACTCTATGAATATTATGATTTGGGCCAAGTCTTGATAATGAATCTTGGAATTAGGCCCAATTAGGGAGTTAGGCCCAATTTGGTAAATATAATGGGCTTTCCATAAGGACTTTCAAGGTTATGGAATTGGCAATGGGCCTTGGCCCAAAAAAGAGAATGGACATGATGGATTGTGTGGATCCTCCTTAGTCAAGATTATTATGTTGTGAAATGACTTGGCATTTATTATTTGGATAGTTCAGATTGTAAGTGAGGCAGCTGATATGTGCATATTTAGCTATATTTTTAGTATAGATTTTTATTATTTATTAGCTAATTATTTGCAAGTTATGGAGAAAAGGTACATAATAGTGTTTAAATTGTATTTTTAGTCCAAAAGATTTGCTCAGAAGCGAAAGGAAGCAGGAGAGGCGATCGGAAGATCGGGAACTGAAGAGAGAAGAAAAAGAGCCAAATCCTGAAGCTACTCGATGAGTAGGAATATCTATTCGATGAGTACACACGAAGGTTCGCAAAGAAATACGTAAAGTCCTTACCGTACACAGATTCTACAAAGGGGACTCGGTGAGTCGGTTGTCTACTTGACGAATAGACCCTGTTTTATGAAAACTATAAATAGAAGCCATATTCTCGAATTTAGGGTTTTTCCAGAATCCATGTGGAATTACTTTGCGACCAAGAAGGCATCTGGAGCTTTGGAAATCGTGTGAGAACCCTAATCTTCAATTCCGAGAATATTCAAGGCAACATAAGCTTACTTTTCCACTTTATCTTTGAATAGAACTATGTTGGGATTGTTAGAATTCGTTTTTAGGTTTTTATCTATTGTAATTATGAACTAATTCCTTTAGTTTCTATTTAGGGTAGATAAGTTTGATCCTATAGATTGATTTATATTTAGATTGATTGCTTATTGGTGAATCTTGTTAAATTACGCTTGTCAAAGAACCTTATGCATTAACCATAACTATTTTCTGTTAATTGACAAGTAATTAAGCTGCATGAACATCTCTTAATTGCTTACCTCATATGATTTATGTGAAAACATTGTTATATTCCTAGGAATAGTGAATGTGAAACTAGGATTAACTAGAAAATGGGTAAATTAATGTGTGATCTTGTGTGATAAACCATCAACAAGAGGTTAATTGAATTATTACTTTGATTAACTAATTACAAGTCTTGTTTAACAAGAATAAATAAACTAAGGAATTTATTAGTTTAATCACTTGATCACTGCTTAAATTAATTTATTTTCTAAGGATTGGTAATAGCGAATGTGAATCTAATCACCTTAGTCGGTAACCAATAACACTTAATACATTGCATTGCCATAAAATCAACCATATGAGTAAATGAATCGAACCTAAACAAAAACCTTTTTATTACTAAATTTAGTTGATTTTTACTTGTTTTTAGCTGTTAGTTATTTAAACTACGTGTTGGTTAGTGTGTTAAAGTTTCTAGTATTGCAAAACTAGAGAAAAACCTTTTACTTAATTTACTTGCTTAGTTAATTCTAGTTATTAGTTTAATTTTCGTTCCCTGAGTTCGATACCCTACTTATTCAACTATATCACTAATAGACGGGTTCACTGCCTTTGTGTGTTTAAATTTCATCTTAAAAGTAGGACTAAAACTCGTGCATTTTTATACTCATCAAGTTTTTGGCACCGTTGACGGGGAACGGGTCAAAAAATTAATTCTAATTTCTAGTATTATTGATCCTTTGTGTGAGATCTATCTTGCACAAAGTTACTACATTAGTAGTTTAGTTATTAGGTTAAGTTTTATGTTTATCTGTTTTTAGAATTTTTGTCTAATTTTTTTTTTTCGGTTTTAGCCTTGAACTCTTCGAGTGCAATCGAAGCTACTCGGCAAGTCCATAGCTGAATTTCAGTTTCGTTTTTATTTTATTTTTTGTTCTTTTTACGTTTGTTTCTTGTTATGATTTCAGGTTTTACATGACCCGAGGATCCAACACACCCCTAGCTCCTCCTTAAGAAGATCTGGAATCCACTCTTAGAAAAAACAAAGACAAAGTCATTGAAGACACTAACCCGTCAAGGAATTCACCTTTCAAGGACCTTAAGTCGGTCTTTGGGAAGAAGAAGAGCAAGAAAACAAGTGAAACCAGCAGTCAAAAGAGCAAGGAAAGCAAGTTTGAACTATTTGAAGGAAATCCAATTCCAAAAGAAACTGATACCGATTCCGAATCCGAAGAAGAAAACGACTTTGAAGGCGAACCCGCTAACACCATGGCTAACATCGATGAAGTTCCTATGGGTGAATGGAAGAAAATGATATGTGACGATACCGGACCGGGACTCGTGCAACCCGTGATTCCTGTGACTGACACTTTCGAACTAAAAGGCCACACACTTGGTCAACTTAAGGAAATCCCCTTCTACGGGAAAGATCACAAAGACACATACAAACATTTAGACGAGGTCAACGATGTAGCTAACTACTTCAATGTTCCTAATGTACCTCACGAAACCGTTTTGTTCGTACGCTTCCAGTCACATTCAAGGGAGTTGCGAAAGATTGGTTGAAATCACTCCCTCAAGGATCCATCACTACATGGGCTAAAATGAAAGAAGAATTTATAGACCAAATTTTCCCTCCTTCAAAAATAGCCAAGTTAAAGAAAGCCATAGCCAAATTTGAACAACAAGGTGGAGAGTCACTTTATGAGGCGTGGGAGAGATACAAGGGCCTACTAAGGAACCGCCCACATCATGATCTAAATAGTCAACAAGAATTTTCCATTTTCTATGATGAGATCAATGTAACAACAAGGCAGATCCTTGATTCGCAAGGACCTCTTACAAAGAAGCCACCCTCGGTGATCAAAGAACTAATTGAAGAATTCTCTAAACACTCTAGAGAATACCATAACCCAGGAAATGACTTAACTCGAGGATTGGTGAACTCTATTACTGATGACATGGTAGCAATGATGGCAAAATTGGAAAGCATGGACTGAAGGATGACTAAGATGGACCAATCCATCCATTCCATTAGAGTGGGATACAAAAACTGTATAGGGCCTCACCTTACTAAAGATTGTAACCTTGATGAGAACCGAAACCAGAAAGTACAAGTGTGTTATTCAAGTGAAGACAGGTATGATGACAATTGGAAAAAACCCAAGAAAAATGGCTACCATATGATTAGTACAAAAAGACAAGGGATGAAAAATAAACGCAAAAAGATAGAGGCTTTTATCAAAAGGAGGAACCGGTGCATGAAAAGAAATCAGATTTGGACGACATGCTTACAAGATTTGTGGCTACATCCGAGAAAAGACATAGTGATACTAATGTTGCAATTAAAGATCAACAAAATATGTTGAGAGAACACCAAATTATGATGAAGGATCAACAAGCTATGCTTAGGAATCAACAAAAATCCATTCTCAAAATAGAAAAGCAGTTGGGCCAATTTGCACAACAAGTGAACGAGAGACGACCGGGCGGACTTCCTAGTAATACTGAAACTAACCCAAAAGGTGCACATATAAATATTGTGACAACTAGCAGTGGGAAATTTATAACTCCTCTGGCCCCTATTCAGCAAGAAGATCCCAAGATGGTGCAAGAGGAAGAAGCAGAAGATGGAGATTCACAAATTCCCAACCCAACTCGCTGAGTCGAGGTTACGGACTCGACGAGTTCCCCACCTAAGAAAAACAAGCCTCCTGTTAAGCCATATCAGCCACCACTTCCATTTCCAGCTCGAGTTAGACAAGAAAAGAACGATGTTGACTACCAAAAATTTCTAGAACACATAAAGGCTCTTCAAATTAATATGCCATTCATTGTGGCGGTTGCACAAATGCCTAAATATGCCAAATTCCTAAAGGAGCTTCTAACTAATAGAAAGAAGATGGAAGAGGTGAAGAAAGTGGTCCTAAACGAAAACTGTTTAGCTGCCATGTCGAACAAACTACCTAAGAAAAAGGGTGATCTGGGAAGCTTAACATTACCCAGTCAATTCGGAAACTTAGTTACCATTTATACAGTGGCTGATTCGGGGGCAAGTGTAAATCTCATGCCATACTCATTCTTCATGAAACTAGATCTTCCGGAGCCAAGACTAATTCGAATAGCAAATCACCTAGAAAATAAAACGGTTACATTCCCGATGGGAATATGTAAAGATCTATTGGTGAAAGTTAATAAGTTCATATTTCCCGTGGACTTCATAGTATCATACATGGAAGCGGATCCCCAATTCCTGATCATACTTGGAAGACCTTTCCTAAACACCGCAAGTGCTATAGTTAACATGCGAGATTCTATACTTACTCTTCGGGTGGGAGACGAATCAGTTACTTTTAGGGTTGATCAGGCTATGAAGTATCCAAGGAATAGTGATGACACGACATTCTCGGTTGATATGTTGGAAGAGTTAATGGAGGAATGGAATGAAGATGAGCCCAACAAGTCCACCGTCACCCTTGAAGAAGAATTCGATGCTGAAAGAGACCTTCTGGAAATCGAGAAACTGCTCGAGGAAGCTGAATATAATGATCTGATTAGAAGTGCAAAACACTCAACTCGCCAAGTAGCCACGAACGACTCGTTGAGTCCATTCGAAGAAACTCGATTTGTCATGAATTTTACCCAGGAATCGACGAGTCCCCTCACTTGACTCGACGTGTTCAGCATTCAGGACACAAAAATTGAACTTAAAGCACTACCAGATCGCTTGGAGTATCCATTTCTTGAAGATGGCCAACAAAAAACAGTAATTATAGCTGCTGATTTGGTCAAACATGAAAAAGAAAGTCTTGTGGGTGTACTACCGAAGAGGCAAGGTGCTATAGCATGGAAGATAACCGATATCAAGGGAATTAGTCCAACTTATTATTCTCATAAGATTAACTTAGAAGATGGAGCTAAACCTGTAGTTCAACGTCAAAGAAGACTTAACCCAA